GGTGACATTCTACTTCTTAGACAGGGTGGCAATCCTCAGTATATTTTATTATTTAAATGTACATATGTGTCGTATATCTATCAGAATATGTGCTCTGTCTTACAATAAAATGGACATGTTTTTAAGAGGAAACAATGATGGTGACAAACACCATGCACTACCCAGCGATAAGCAAATGAGGAGGTCTGAAGTTTGCAAATATAAAACCGCAACCAAATTTTAAAATCATGTGTATGAGGGAGAAAAAAAGCAGGAAAGACAGGTCAAAATACTGATGGTCTGAGATTGTAAGTAACTTTTTCTCTTGCCTTTTGCCCTAATTCTCATAATGGCAAAATATTATTTAATAAAAGCTTGCTTTTGTTTTTCGAGACAGAACCTTGCTGTGGAGCCCAGGCTAGCCTCCATCTGCTTGCTGTCTTTGCATCACAAGGTGGCCTCACACGCTCTGCCTTCTCCCGCAGTCTCAGATGCGTTGGGATGAGAAGCATGAGCTGCCATGTCCAGCTATGAACCTTCAGTATGGTTTTAGAAACTGTTTCCAACTGACTTAACATCTGTTATGTCATCTGATTTTTATACCAACGCTTTCAGGGGAGTTCACCTTAGATAACCACTTCGTGGATCAGCAAACTGAGGTAGTATGTTGGTGACTTGCAAAGTCACCCAGTGTCTGGAGGTCAACCTGTGGGCAGTTCTCAGACCTACAGTGTCCTCCTAACCCTGGAGCTTCTGTGACTGCATCTCAGATTCCTGGAGTCCCAGGGTCCGCTCTCTTGAGTAGGAATAGCTGCTACCTAGATTTGGCCCCGTGGTCCTAAGTTCATGTCCATATACACGATGTCCTCAAAAGATGCGACCCTGAGCTCTGGCTGGGGACCCACATGAGGTAAGTTTTTTTTTTTTTTTTTGGTTTTTCAAGACAGGGTTTCTCTGTGGCTTTGGAGGCTGTCCTGGAACTAGCTCTTGTAGACCAGGCTGGTCTGTTTTGTTTTGTTTTGTTTTAATGTTGGGAGTGAAGTGGAAAAGAGAGGACGGGCTGTGTCTGATGCCTCTCAGCCATAGTTTCTAGAGAAATGGGGCTGCACTGTTCCATGCAACCAACAGCTTTTCCCAGAGCCAGCTTTCAGCTCTCGGAAATCTGCAAGGCAGTTTGGGTGGCTTTGGGGAAGACAGTCTCCATCCAGGAACCTCCATAACAAAAAAGTGGGAACCCTAAAGGAGGGCCCACCTTTCTCAAGAGTGAAGAAGGCAGAACTAGAAGGCCCTTAGAATCTCCAGCCCAGCCCAGCCCAGCCCAGCCGGCTTTGTCCCTGGCATCTAGCACTAGTATCTGATTAGTTGTGGTGGAGAGCAAGGCTTACTCCTGTTGCTTTTAGGGGGCGACAGGGGGGATCTCATCCCAGCCACTCTCATGATTGCCATCCTGGGTGTCACCAGATATCACCCTTAGCTTCTCGCTGATGAAGGGGACAGAGGGTACCCCAGAAAGCCTTCCTGATCCACAATTAAAGACTGGCTGTGTGCCTCATTCTCAAGTGGGTCGTTTTTTGTTTTTTGTTTTTCCCCTGACCCAGGGGGTCACTGGTGCTAAGTACAGCATCCACAGTCCACTCAGGGCTCCTACACTTCAGCGCCCACTGGGCTACCCTTATCAGGAGGGTGCACTTCAAGGGACTTAAATTAGTAATTCCCACATTCAGTTTGGTCAAAAGCACGGGCTGGGGGAAAAAAAAAAACACCCCCCTGCCTTCCCAAGGTGAAGAAGTGGGGTCAAGACCCGTGCCCAGACAGGCCAGCCGGGCAACTCAAGCGGCCCTGGATGGCGCTATCTCGTTTCCAGAGTTCTCTGAGCAAATACAGCCTCGCAGTACGAAGAACACAGTTGGGGAAGCAGAGGAGTGTGGGACGAGATCACCCACTCAATTGCAAAATCCTTTAAATATCTCTGAACTTTCCCGGTTTTGCTTTTGGCTCCTTGCAGTGTTTTTGTGTTTAGTTTTTGGTTGCCACGAGGGGACTGTTTTTAGCTGCCTGGCTCCTCCTCCCTCCCCCTTTTAATTTCCCCTATTCCTTTGGTACAAGCCTCAGCATGAAATCTCCAGTTCTTATCTCACTCAGCAAAACAGACCGGAGCTGACCTGCATACGGGCTCCCCGGGGCGGTTCTCTGGCGAAAACCTCCACAACATTCAAATTTCCGCGTAACCCTCTTTGACTGGGGATTAACCCCTGAAATCACTCTAGCCAGGGCTTACTGGAGAGGCATGCCTTTGCCCACGTGTCGGGAAGCGATTTGGGTGTCGGGGTTTTTCTTGCCCCTCTGCGTGGCGCTACCCATGCTTCTGGGGCGAGTGTGCGCGCTAAACACTAGTGGCATTAAGTCAGCGTAAACTGAGGCACGAGGGCACTCAGATATTGACGACTTCCTTTGGCCCAGTTTGTCTAAGCCTTTTACGACTCTCCGGAGGAGCCTAGGGGACCGAGACAGGCAGAAAGTGGCTTCGGTTTGCCTGGGACAGGAGTTTCTTTCAAGTTGGGGGTTGGGGGCCGGATTTCTCCCTGAAGATTCTTATCGCTTTGGGGGTTTCTGTAGGACAGGGAGGCGGAGGATGGCCGACTCTGAGCCCTGTAAACAATCGAGAGTGTTTCTATCCAGGTGCGACTTGGAGATTGAAAGCTAATGATTAGCAGAAAGACGGGGGTGGGGTGGGGTGGGAGCCACCACGGGAATGACAAGGTGCCCTGGACGTTCCTCAGACTTCAGTCCACAATACCCTTCCACTGTTATACGAAGGCGCTGGTCTTTTTGCTTGGGTTCTCAGGACCCTCGGCTGAGCCTTCCTCTTGAGGACAGGACCGACCGCCACAGATCTGGCTCGGGTATTAATGGAACCGCAGTTTAATCCGTAAAACAATTAAGGATGTCTGTAGGGGTTCACAGCGGCGCGGGGCGGGGGGCGCTTCATGCCCCCATCTCCTTGTCTCACGGTACAGTGGTGCTGTTATCCAGGGCAGCCTGTACCGAGACGGGACAGATAAGTGCAGATCACAAATGACTTTCATTTACAGGCACCTGGCATTCTTCGGGGTTGTGCGGACACGCCCGGAGTTTACCTGCCTGCAGGTTGACTGAAGGGCGGGCGGTGGAGGTGAGGAGCAGAGTGTGGGCGTGGGAGATGGAGGGTGTGGCCCCGAGAGCCGTTACCAAGGCAAAAACCAAAGCAAAACACCCGCCCGGCGCTTCCCGCGCGAGGCTACTGCAATCGCGTCAGATCCTGGCAGGATCTACGAGGATCCCCGGGATGGAACCACCTCAGGCTTCCCCGGCCGGCGTGGGCGGGACTTCGGGGGCCTCCCTGGCGGGCAGGGGCCTGTGGAAGGCGAGGCTCTGCCTTGGACAGAAGGAACCCGGGTGCAGAGAACTTGATTCTGCCCAAAGTGTCTGCTCAAAGGACATCAGTTCCTTGGGGTGTAATGCGGGTGTGTGTGTGTGTGTGTGTGTGTGTGTGTGTGTGTGTGTGTGTGTGTGTATAAGAGAGAGAGAGAGAGGGAGAGAGAGAGAGAGAGAGAGAGAGAGAGAGAGAGAGAGAGACCTTCCTTACGACCCTAACAATCCAGGTGAAAGGTGTTATGGACAATTCCTTCTTACCCCAAACTATCACTCTGAGACCTTCCGATCGCCTCCCCCTCGAAGGCAGGTGTTAGCAGGTGCCTCTGTCTTTACATCCCGGCGCCCTGCCCGACGTGTGCGCCCGAAGGCTTCCCAGACCGTTGTGCGAGCCCTGGGCCGCATTCCTTGGTTAGCTATGGAGACCCGCCCGGGGTCTTGCGCTCAGCCGAAGACTTTCGAAATTACTGGATCAGAACCAGCAAACTGTTTTCAACGTTCAAACCCAGTTCTGCTGAGGCCTCGGCTTGAAACTC